TTCCCTCCCTCTCTCCCTCCCTCCCTCCCCCTCTCTCTCCATCTCTTTACTATCTATCTATCTATCTATCTATCTATCTATCTATCTATCTATCTATCTATCTATCTATCTATCTACAATCCCTTTATCATCTCTCTTTCTCTCCTTCACTCCCTCCCTCCCTCCCCCCCTCTCTCCATCTCTTTACTATCTATCTATCTATCTATCTATCTATCTATCTATCTATCTATCTATCTATCTACAATCCCTTTATCATCTCTCTTTCTCTCCTTCCCTCCCTCCCTCCCTCCCCCTCTCTCTCCATCTCTTTACTATCTATCTATCTATCTATCTATCTATCTATCTATCTATCTATCTATCTATCTACAATCCCTTTATCATCTCTCTCTCTCCTTCCCTCCCTCTCTCCCTCCCTCCCTCCCCCTCTCTCTCCATCTCTTTACTATCTATCTATCTATCTATCTATCTATCTATCTATCTATCTATCTATCTACAATCCCTTTATCATCTCTCTTTCTCTCCTTCCCTCCCTCCCTCCCCCTCTCTCTCCATCTCTTTACTATTTATCTATCTATCTATCTATCTATCTATCTATCTATCTATCTATCTATCTATCTATCTATCTATCTATCTATCTACTATCTATCTATCTATCTACCTACCTACCTACCTACCTACCTACCTACCTACCTACCTACCTACCTACCTACCTACCTATCTATCTATCTATCTATCTATCTATCTATCTATCTACTATCTATCCCTATCTATCATCTCTCTCTCCCTCCTCTCCTCTCCCCCTCCCTCCCTCCCTCCCCCTCTCTCTCCATCTCTTTACTATCTATCTATCTATCTATCTATCTATCTATCTATCTATCTATCTATCTATCTACAATCCCTTTATCATCTCTCTCTCTCCTTCCCTCCCTCTCTCCCTCCCTCCCTCCCCCTCTCTCTCCATCTCTTTACTATCTATCTATCTATCTATCTATCTATCTATCTATCTACCTACCTATCTATCTATCTATCTACAATCCCTTTATCATCTCTCTTTCTCTCCTTCCCTCCCTCCCTCCTTCCCTCCCCCTCTCTCTCCATCTCTTTACTATCTATCTATCTATCTATCTATCTATCTATCTATCTATCTATCTATCTATCTATCTATCTATCTATCTATCTATCTACAATCCCTTTATCATCTCTCTCTGTCTCTCTCTCTCTCTCTGTTGTGAGGGGAAAAATGGTCGATAAACTCTAACACGATGCCCGCAAATCAGCTCAGCAATGTAGCACCCTGTTTGCCCATTACTATCCATCATTTGATACCCCAATTCTCCCAATATTCTCCACAGGAGGAGAATTTTGGAGAAACACCCAAAAGGGATTAATTGACCTAGTTTCCTAACCCGGAAGAGCTTCTATTTAACCCTAAGTAGACCCAGTTGTGCCCACCCTAACTAACTCTGCCTGATCACCCTGTTAACTCAGTTTGACTCCAGAGTCTTCCAAGAAAAAGAACTGCAGAGAATGAATGAAAAAAAAGAGGAATTAAAAACAAAAACAAACACTCCCCCCCCCCAATTTTTTCCAATATATGACATATGGAGCTGAGGACTCAAACAATGGACATCCATTCCTCTTGTGATAAATACAAATTAACTTACATCCGCCATGCAATCCCACTTTTAAGGCAGTTGCTACGAGAAATGCACACGTTTAATGGTCAAATTTATGCTAGTAGGAACAAAATGAATAAGCCAGTCTCCAAGTTGACAGCAAGTCAAGAATTGCTTCAGGCATTGAGTCAAATTCAGCATTCTCTCTCTCTCTCTCTCTCTCTCTCTCTCTCTCTCTCTCTCTCTCTCTGTTTGTGTTTTGTGTATGCGTGTTTGTGCATATTGCTAGGTTATTAGTCAACAAAACAGACCATATCATGAAGCTTCTTGCAAGATACTGGATCTACTATTAATATCTGTCTGGTAAAGAAGAAGTATTTTTTTGCAAAGCAAGGGTAAGTCAACAATGAACAGATTGGATTTCCTACCAAATCCTTCCAATCCAGCTGGGTGGGAGAAATTGACTAGATATTTGCAAGTCAATGCCTTCTTTCCTGCATGTTTCAGCTCTTGTGTATTTCAGCCTCAGCTGTTCATAGGACAAAGTGTTTGACTTGCAGAGAGAAAACATTTATGCTTGCCTTGGCTCCAAATGAAAATAAATGTAGAAGATAACTATGATTTATTCTTATTTTCCAAGTTTCCTTCCAGAGTATTTGTTTTATTCTCACAACTGCCCTGTAAGAGAGATTAAACAGTGATGGGGATTAGCCCAAGGTGATCTTTTGAACTTTGAGGGCAGATCAGAATTTAGGTAGACCTGTTCTCAGAATAACAGAGTTGGAAGGGACCTTGGAGGTCATCTAGTCCAACCCCCTGCTCAGGCAGGAAACTCTATACCATTTCAGACTAATAATAATAATAATAATAATAATAATAGGTCCTTGGTAAGGACTCTATAGGTAGACAAAATGTCAAATCCAGTCTGAACATCTGGCTGACTATGCAATGGTCCATAATAATAATAAAGTTGGAAGGGACCATGGAGGTCATCTAATCCAACCCTCTGCTCAGGCAGGAAACCCTATACCATTTCGGACAAATGGCTGTCTAGTCTCTTCTTAAAAACTTCCAGTGTTGGAGCATTCACCGCTTCTGGAGGCAGGTTGTTCCACTGGTTAATTGTTCTCGCTGTCCAGAAGTTTCTCCTTAGTTCCAGGTTGCTTCTCTCCTTGGTTAGTTTTCATCCATTGCTTCTTGTCCTGCCTTCAGGGGCCTTGGAAAATAGTTTGACTCCCTCTTCTTTGGGGCACCCCCTGAGATATTGGAAGACTGCTATCATGTCCCCCTCGTCCTTCTCTTCATTACACTAGACATCCCCAATTCCAGCAGCTGTTCCTTATATGCTTTAGCCTCCAGTCCCCAACTCTTCTTAAATTATCTCCAATGTTGGAGCACCCACAGCTTCCGAAGGCATAATAACAGTTGTGCTTTGGCAGAAGTTAGACCAAATTTCTAAGCCCTCTTCCTAAGATTTCTGTTCTTTAAGATCATAAAGAGCGTCGTCTTTCTAACTGGTATTTTTCAAATCTTCCATGGTATCTTCAGTGACGGCGACCAAGACTGCACAAAACATTTTTCTACCAAATCAAGCTGTGCTGCTCTTTCTTACTTGCTTCTCTGACATCTAAAGGCAGGCATTCAAAAGCAGATTTTAAATGCATCTGCAAAAAAGGCAAAGCGTGTTAAAGTGCACGAAACTAAGTAGTAATATATGTATTGAGAGAAGATGATAGTTTGGTTTCTGTTTTAGATGTAGACGTGCATGTAATGTCCAAATTAGACACCTATTGTCGGAGAAGGTGCAAGGAACCTAGAACTAAGGAGAAATTTCCTGACAGTTAGAACAATTGACCAGTGGAACAACCTGCCTCCAGAAGCTGTGAATGCTCCATCACTGGAAGTTTTTATGAAGACACTGGACAGCCATTTGTCTGAAATGGTATAGGGTCTTCTGCCTGAGCATGGGGGTGGACTAGAAGACCTCCAAGGTCCCTTCCAACATTATTATTATTGTTATTATATAGGATTGACAATACTGACAATCTTGGATCTTCGAGTGCAGCATCCTTTTTCCTATAACCAAAAGTCCACCAGAAAAAGAATTCTTGAGACCTCAGGGTTCTAATTCAAAAATTTATTAATTAAAAAATACCTTGTTTACGATGAAAAGAGTTGGAAGGGACCTTGGAGGTCTTCTGGTCCAACCCCCAACTCAAGCAGGAGACCCTATTCCACTTCAGACAAATGGCTGTCCAATCTCTTCCTAAACGCCTCCAGTGATGGAGCATCCACAACCTATGCCATTCCATTGATTAATTGTTCCAACTGTCAGGAAATTCCTCCTTGCTCCTAGCTTGCTTCTCTCCTTGATTAGTTTCCATCCGTTGCTTCTTGTCCTGTTTTGGAGAATAGGTTGACCAAAGCAGTTGAATGCAGAACAAGAATCAAAGGATGGAAACTTTTAGAATTATTGCAAAGCAAACTTGTCAACAAAAGTAGACTTACAGTCCAGGAAGACGTCAGCTTGGAACCTGCATAAAGTCCATCTCTGCACACAGGTAGAGATGGAGAAATAGAGATAGAGAGATAGAGACAGAGAAAGAGAAATAGAGAGAGAGATGAAGATGGAGATTGGAGATGGGAGACATTAGAGGATAGAGAGAGAGATGTAAAGAGAGAGAGGTAGAGAGAAAGATAGATGGAGATTGGAGACTGGAGACATTAGAGAATAGAGAGAGAGAGGTAGAAAGAGAGATGGAGACTGGAGACACTAGAGGATAGATAGAAAGAGAGAGGTAAAAAGAGAGAGATAGAGAGAGAGATGGAGATTGGAGACTGGAGACATTAGGGGATAGAGAGAGAGGGGGGGAGAGAGAGAGAGAGAGAGAGAGAAAGAGGGTAGAGAGAGAAAGGTAGAAAGAGAGATGCAGATGGAGATTGGAGACGAGACACTAGAGAATAGATAGAAAGGGAGATGTAAAGAGAGAGAGGTAGAGAGAGAGAGATGGAGATTGGAGACTGGAGACATTAGGGGATAGAGAGAGAGAAAGGTAGAGAGAGTGAGGTAGAAAGAGAGAGAGATGGAGATGGAGATTGGAGACTAGAGACACTAGAGGATAGATAGAAAGAGAGGTAAAGAGAGAGAGGTAGAGAGAGAGATGGAGATTGGAGACTGGAGATATTAGAGTGGAGAGAGACAGACAGAGAGAGGAGAGGGAGAGAGAGAGAGAGAGAGAGAGAGAGAGAGAGAGAGAGAGAGAGAGAGAGAGAGAGAGAGACTAATCAATGTTACACAATGCAGTAAGACAACTGATTTTCTTTTTTAAAAAAAGCCAGAAGCCAAATTTATATAATTTTTGGGTTTGTTTTTACCATCAACAGCTCCTTTCCTGCTGGTAGTTCGAAAACAGTGGAGATGGGAGAACGTCCGAAACGAAATCCTAGCAAACGCCGCTATCCTAAACTGCCACGTGTCCAGGTTCCTTCAAGTGAATGGGACTCGTTCTTAATGAAGGTATCGGAGTTGGTTACCTTTTAGTTTACGGGACCCCAAAGTCAAGACAAGTCCTCCAATCTTACGGGCCTTAGGAAGTAAATTTCTCAGTGCTCGGACGCAGTTGTGTCACGGGCCTGGATTCACAGAGTTCCTTTAGCCACCAAAACGAGCACTTTCTTAAGGAAAACTCCAATCTCATTGGCGGACAATACACTGAATCTCGGACCCCTGTGGGATTCAGTTAATATTTGAAAGGAAAAGGGAAGCAATCGAAAGAGTAAAATATATTTTGATATACGAAACCTCTCACCAGCCCAAATGCTTTTCTAACTTGTGCAGGAAGTCCTTGACTTAATGGCCACAGCTGAGCTCGAAAGTTCCGTTGTGAGGCAAAAGAATAAAGTCATCTTTGCCCCATTTTATGACTGTTCTTGCCACGGCTGTTAAGCGAATCACTCTGCTGTTAAGTGAGTGACAGGATTGTGAAGTGAATTTGGCTTCCCCCCCTTTGATTTTGCTTGTCATAAGGCCGCAAAAGGGGATCGCCTGACCCCGAGACGCCGCAACTGGCACAAGTGCACGCCAGTTGCCAACCCTCCTAAATGCGAGTCCTTCACCAAGCCGTTGAACTTTGATCCCGTGACCTTGGGAAGCGGCAGTGTGAAAAATAGCTGTTTTTTTCAGGGCTGTTGTAACTTTGAACGGTCCCCAAACCAACTATAAGTCGAGGACTTATTGTGAGAGAGACTTATTGTGTTTGCCGTTGCTAACCAGACTGGGTCCTTGCCTTGGCAGGGTTTGAACACAGGACAGAAACGCTATTTTTACAGCATTCTGAGCATCTACGACAGCCGAGGCCAGAGGGAAGCACTGTCCCACCGATACACCATTGGCCTTCAGCGCCAAAATGCGCTCGGTGAGTGCCAGCCCAGGCGGGGCCGTGCATCAGCGATCCGGAGAAATTGGAGAACCGTGGGGAAAAGCCGGGGATTATGAGGCCAGTTTTATGAGCTGTGACGGCACCTCTCAGTCATAGCTGGAGCGCACGCCGGTTTACGGGCAGGGTTCCCACAGCCTTCAGCTCCCAAAAGCTTTTGTTTTGCTCAGCACAGGCAGGGCGAGCATTCGTATGGGGTGCGCGTTAGTGCGCTCTGCTGTGTTATGTGCTCCTGGCTTCTTTCCTTCGTGACCAGAGGCGAGCTCGCCTGACCAATAACCAGCCAAGGCACAGTGAAGGCCTTTTGTTTCATTTATTGCCATAAGCGGGGAGAGAAGCAATCAAAGCTTGGTTCTCTCCAAAGTTCCAACCCAAAATATTCCCCCTTTTTTTGTATTTTTTTTTATTTTCAATTTTACATTACATCATAAAGAATACTTCAGATAAAGAGTAAAATAAATTTATACACATAACTTTCGGTATTGCTCACCCATTTCCCCCCAAACCGCATCCACCCTCTAACCCAGTGGTTCTCAACCTGTAGGTCGGGACCCCATTTGGGGTCGAACAACCATTTCACGGGGGTCACCAAACCACGCTGTCTGCCATTTTTTTCCCTTTTCCCCAGCTGTTCTACTCCCTTTTATTGGTGGCCACACCCACTTGGGGGTCACCACAACATGGGAAACTGTATTATGGGGTCACGGCATTAGAAAGATTGAGAACCACTGCTCTAACCTCTTCTCTCACTTCCCTCTTTCCCTCTTCTTCCTCACTCTCCCCCTCTCCTCCTTCTCCTCAACCTTCCTACTTACTTCTCCCCTTCCTCCTATCTTCTCATTCCGGATGTGATCCAGGGAAATGCCCGAGCAATTCCTCTCTCCAAATTGAAACATCAATATTATATACAATAAAACTATTTCTACTTATCTGAGCTATTTAACCTCCAACCCATCCTCCACTTCCCAGAGCCAAGTACAGGGTTATACAAACATATTAAACATAATCTATTTAAGTTTACTAATTATACAATAACCAAAATCATACTAACCCTTAACTCTCTTCAAACTTTAACATCATACTTTTATAAACAAATCCATTACTCATAAAATAAATGAAACTTTGTAGTTCCATATTTCTTCTGAACATATTCTATCCATCTTCTCCATACAATAAATATTCTCTTGTGAATGGTCCTTTAAATAAGCAGAAATTTTAGCCATTTCTGCTAAATTAGAAACCTTAAATACCCATTCTTCTAAAGAAGGCAGAGAATCCTTCTTCCAATATTGACCCACCAATAATCTCGCTGCTGTTATTAAATTCAACATTAAAATAGTTTCTTTAGCATCAAAATCCACAAAAATACCCAAAAGAAATAACTGGGGAGTAAACTTAATCTTCCTTTTAAAAACCTTTTGAATGTTCCACCAAATCATAATCCAAAAAGCTTTAATATTTTTACAAGTCCACCAAACATGAAAATAAGTTGCATCCAAGCAACCAAAAATATTCCCTTCTTTATACAGCATCACATCCCTCCTCTTTCCCCATTGGCTGAGGTACTATGAGGTTACCCTCTTTCCGACTGCCTCCTACCTATTTCCTGCGACATACTAAATCATACATCACATGTACATTAAAATGAAGAGATAATTTAACTATGTCAGTTAATATTAATCAACTAACTGCACATGCTCAGTTGCCTGAGTTCGCCCCCCCCCTTTTCATGACTTCTTAGAAAAATAGGTTCTTTCCTGTTTTGCTAGTTATCTTCTCTTACGGATGTTTTTATAGCTTGCCTTCTTCCTTTCCCACTCTAAGACCCAGCTAATTTTCATTATTAAATTTTTGAAGACCTTTCCTCTACTTCTGTCAGCTGTTATTTGTGTTCCGTGCTTCGGCTGGGCAGTTTATCTTTAGTGTCCATCCACAGAGAAGTCAAGCTCTTCTCCAAAGCGCCTGAAGGCAGGACAAGAAGCAACGGATGGAAACTAATCAAGGAGAGAAGCAACCTGGAACTGAGGAGGAGTTTCCTGACAGAACAATTAACCAGTGGAACTCCTTGCCTCCAGAAGCAATGAATGCTCCAACAATGGAGGTTTTTAAGAAGAGACTGGACAGCCATTTGTCCGAAATAGTGTAGGGCAGTGGTTCTCAACCTTTTTAATGCCGCGACACTCAACCGGTTGTAAGTCGAGGACTACTCAACTGGTGCAGCACCGTTTGCAGAATGGGACTTTTTGGCGGGCTCAACAGGGCAGAGACAGCCTGGACAATTCCTATTGGCTTTGGAAAGCCAATAGAATTAGACTCTATTCAAGAGAGTCTCTTCTATTGGCTTTCAAAAGCCAATAGAATAAAAGGGAGTAGCACAGCTAAGGAAAAGGGGGAAAAATGGCGGACTGCGTTGTTTGGCGACCCCCGTGAAATGGTCGTTCCACCCCAAATGGGGTCCCGACCCACAGGTTGAGAACCATTGGTATAGGATTTCCTGCCTGAGCAAGGGGTTGGACTAGATGACCTCCAAGGTCCCTTTCAACTTTATTATTATTATTATTATTACTACTACTACTACTACTACTACTATTATTATTATGGATCATCGCACAGTCATCCAGATGTTCAGACTGGATTTGGCATTTTGTCTACCTATCAAGTCCTTACCCAGGACCTGGGATAGGCAGATGTGGATGTTTAATGGTATTACAGATATCATTGTTTTTATTACTACTACTACTACTACTACTACTACTATTAAAAAGGCGTCCTGAGAACTGAAAAATAAAACCTTTGGAGTGAATATTTAACCTCTCCCCCCCCCCCCAAAAAGAGAGAGAGAAATCCGACTTCTGCAAAATGCATGATGTGTATCTTCACCTCTGCAGGGAATCCTCATCTTACGATCACGACGGAGCCCAATGTTTGCGTGGCTCAACAAGTTAAGGGAGTTTTGCCCCGTTTTACTACCTTTCTGGCCACGGACGTTAAGCGAATCACGGTGGTTTTTAAGTGACATCAGGCTTCCTCGTTGACCTGGGTTGTCAGAAAGTCACCCTCGTTACAGGGAGTCCTCGACGTACGGGGAGACCAAAATTTCTGTTGCTAAGTGAGACACTTGTGAAGTGAACTTTGCCCCATTTTATGACCTTGTGGTTAAGTCAGTCACTGCAGTTGTTAAGTGAAGCGGGCTTCCCCTGTTACTTTGCTTGTCAGAAGATGCTAAAAGGGGATCATGTGACGCCGGGAAGCTGCAACCGTCGTAAGTCCATGCCAGTTGCCAAGCCTCTGAATTTTGATCACGTGACCCTGGGGATGCTGCAACGGTCGTAAGTGTGAAAAACGGTCACAACTCACTTCTTTCACTGCCATTGTAAGCGAACTGTTTTATAAGTCCAGGGCTATCTGTATTTAAAGCAAGAAAAACGTGCAATTTAATATCCAAAGAGAAACGTTTGCAAAAATATTTTACGTTCTTGCCTAAATCTTAAATAAATAAATGCCACCCTTGGTAGGGCAAGCCAGAAGTAAAAATGCAGTTGGTTCAGCAGAGTTTCTCTCCAAACTTATATAAAAAAAATAAAATAAAAATAAAACTTGGAATTATGTTGTGGGAGAATTTTGACTTCGGATCAGATTCCACAGATGGACGATTCCTCTCTGTGGGGCGAGCAAAACGTCTGAACTGATGGGCAAATGGGGCCAGAATTTAAATGAAAACCTGCTTCCCTGCCTTTATAGTCTGAATTTTGTTAAAAAATGTCTCTCTTTTTGTTTCCTTCCAATCTCACCGACCCTCGCCGTTTTGGCCCGCTGTCTGTTTTTAAATATATATATATATTTATTCGCAATGCCCAGCCCTAAAATCGTTTCCCCAACCCAATTTGGCTCAAGGTTTTCCCCGACAGACGGCCGATGTTTTTCAGACACAAGCTTTCCCGAGCTGTACTACAATGACCTTGAGGCGAAAACACAGCACGGCTTGCGACAGAAATGTCCCCGGAGGCTCTCAAGTCATCCAGGTTTGTTCCAAAGCTGCTTGTTCGAGAGGCAACTGGAACTATTTTTTTCTTTGAAGACGTTTCTCTCCTCATCCAAGAAGCTTCTTCAGTTCTGACTGAAGGATTAACTCCTTCCATTCCCCACCCTTCAATCAGAACTGAAGAAGCTTCTTGGATGAGGAGAGAAATGTCTTCAAGCCAAAAAACAAAGAAAGTCCAGTTGCCTTTTGGAAAAAAACACCTTTGGCTGACGACGGGAAAGCTCGGAAAAGCCCTTTATTAAGAGTAGATAGCAAGGCCAGCCACGTGACCTCTGAGATTCGAGCCCTGTGTTCAAGTTTCAGTCGAGGGCTCTTCTCTTGAGTGGCCCTCAAGGAAGGTCTCTGCCTTCACTTCTAAAGCCTAGTGAATACTTGCAATGATTCATTTAGTGGCCGTTCAAAATTAGAACGGCCCTAAAAAAGTGACATGACCGTTTTTCACACTTATGACCATTGCAGCATTCCTGTGGTCATGTGGTCAAAATTCAGACGCTTGGCAACTGACTCATATTTATGATGGTCACAGTGTCCTGGGGTCATGTGATCCCCTTTTGTGATCCCCTTGTGTGGTCATAAGTTGAGGACTTCCTGTTGCTTCTCTCTTTGGTTAGTTTCCATCCGTTGCTTCTGGTCCTGCCTTCAGGCGCTTTGGAGAATAGCTTGACTCCCTCTTCTTTGGGGCAGCCCCTGAGCTACTGGAAGGCTGCTATCCTGTCCCCCCTCGTCCTTCTCTTCATTAAACTAGACATACCCAATTCCAACAACCATTCCTTGTAAGTTTTAGCCTCCAGTCCCCTGATCATCTTTGTTGCTCTTCTCTGTACTCTTTCTAGAGTCTCAGCATCTTTTTTACATCGTGGGGACCAAAACTGGATGCAGGATTCCAAATGGGGTTTATAAAACCTTACCCCTGGATGATTGTTTTTGTATTGTTGTTTGTTATGTTTTATGTGTTTTTTATTGTTAGCTGCCCAGAGTCCTTCGGGAGTGGGGCGGCTTATAAATTTTAAAAATATTATTATTATTATTATTATTAATAATAATAATAATAATAATAATAATAATAATAATAATAATAATGTGGCCTTTTAAACCAGCCTAACTCTAAGAAACAGCTCGGTTTGTTCCAGGTTGGTTTTCCCCTTCCAGAGAAATCTGATTTTTTTCCCCATCATTTCGGAAAGCAGAACGTTGTTATTCTAAACAATGCTTGGTTATATCCAGTCAGGGTGCTTTGTTGTGTGTGTGTGTGTGTGTGTGTGTGTGTATGTGTGTGTGTAAATTACAGAGAAAGAGGCCAATCTAAAAGGAAGCGACGAGAGAAACATTTGTCTCATAATTAAGGCAAGGACACAAGTAGGTCTCTCATCTTTCACTCCCGACAATTTATTGAAAACCGTGTCACATCACCACAGGGACAACAGACGGCGGTAGGCTATTCCGAAGCTCTTCTTGCAATTAAGGTTGTTATTTTCCAACTTTGCAGTCGAGGCATGGCAGGGAACCCTCTCCAGTCCATCAAGTTTTATGGCCTCGCCAACTCACGCTGTCTATGGTGATGGCCCTCCACCCGCGGTTCAGTAATCCTGGATATTTTTTTGAGGTTTTGGGGCCAAAGTAGCAACTAGCTATCAGAATAACAGCTCCGTTTTCCACCCCTCCATCTTTCCTTATCCAAGAGCCGGTGGAGTTGTGAGTGCTTAGGGTCCATCCTAGACCTCCTTTTCAAATCCGTTTTCAGGGCTCATCACCAAGCAGCAGTTGGGATACTACGCTTCCTTCGTAAACGATTCAAAACCTTGCGGAAGGTCAACGCTAGGAAGGCCGTCACCCTCTAAGGCAGACAGCAAGGGGAGGCCAGCTGCCTTTCTGTGATGAAATATGAATCAAAGAAGCGACAGAAGCTCAGCAGGCCAGGATGAATCACGGTTTGGCGTTGGGGAACAAACGGGGCAGTTTGCCTTCTGCCGGTCCGGCTTTGCAAAACGCAACGGGCATTTTGGAAAGAAGATGTGGGACTTGTTTAAAGAGAGGCCACCTTTGCTGGCAAATAAAACAAGAGGATCCTTGCGGAAGCTTCCGTGGTTTAGGCCCAATCCTTGCATTAAAACATTTTACGGAAATCTGTGTGAAATTTGTCAACCCTTGGTCTGAAATGGTATGGGGTTTCCTGTCTAAGCAGGGGGTTGGACTAGAAGACCTCTAAGGTCCCTTCCAACTCCATTCTCCTCCTCCTCCTCCTCCTCCTCCTTGTAAAATGTTTTCTTCATACAATTAGCACACAGGTTATTTCATTTAGCCAGTTCCTAATATTAGTTAAAGCTTAATATTAGTTAAAGCTTTCATCACATCACTCCTGTTAATTAAAATATATTTCTTATGATATTTCCCATCTATCTCAAGATGACCTCCAAGGTCCCTTTCAACTATTGTATTGTATTGTATTGTATTGTATTGTATTGTATTGTAAGTGTGTTCTGGATATATAGATGCATTTTATTCACTAATGGAAACAGGCTAAAGTATGTGGGACAGGATCCGAATGCCACAGCTTGAAACTTTGAAGTACAGAACTTTGCTTTATTATTGGGTATAAGCTTCTATTTCTTTAAGTAGCTCGATCAAGCTGATAGAAGCTACGTTTTTGTGCCTGATTGTGCAGTTTACCAGACAACTGGCTCGGAGGGAAGAAAGCATTAGCACACACAGTTATGGGAAGGCAGCTTTACGCAGAAACTCAAGCATGACACTTTTGTAGACAGATGGTATTTGTGTTTCTCTCTGGGTATTAAAATTGTCCTGACACCTCAGTAAAAGATTAAGGTTGTCGTGGGAAAAAAAACAAAACCAAAGCTTCATCTGTGCTCTGGGGGGAAAAACCTGAGTGTGAATTCAATAATAAGTTCAATAATTTTATAATTCCAGAATCAAATAATTGGATAAATCCAATAATTCGATAAACAAACTCAAGGGGTTTGAGGGCTACTGGGAATGAAAGCAATCTGCAGGGCAGTTTGTAGGAAAATTGTCCTCTACTCATGAAACCACAAATATCTGATAGAAGCAGTAGGTGATGTGTCTACACCATCTCCAGGCAGAACAAGAAGCGACGGATGGAAACTAATCAAGGAGAAAAGCAAACTAGAACTATGAAGAAATTTCCTCACAGTTAGAAGTTGTGGGTGCTCCATCACTGGGTGGGAGGGTTTAAGAAGAGATTGGACAGCCCACTTGTCTGGAATAGGGGGGGATGGACTAGAAGACCTCCAAGGTGCCTCCCAGCTCGATTCTGATTCTAAGGGTCGGGAATCGTCACAGATCCTTGGAAACCCACAATGCCTCTAAGCCACTTTCTTTTAATTATAATCCCCAAATAAGGTCGTTATAAAACCTCAACCCACCTCAAACACAGTCACCCAGGAACAGCCAGGAAGACAGTCATGCACAATGTGTGGGAGCCTTGTCCTCACAATGAGGAGGTGGCCGAACTTCTGCTGAAGTTGCTATTACAATGATTGTGCAGCCAACAACAGTTTTACAAGGAGAGCCTGAAGACCAGTCTCCTCGAAGGAAAACAAAGCCAGCCCTGAGAGACACAAGCACAAGGGCCATTTTCTTTGCAGTTGACTGTTTCAACACAACGCCTTGACTGTTTCAAACACAATGCCCTTTTCCTCAGCTTCCCACCAAAATATTGGCTCAGAGACTGGTCAAAGGTCACCAAGAAGACAAGGCGCCACCAAAGCTTTGGTGACTAATCCAGATGAAATGTGTCTCACAGTGGACTAGGTGCTTCCTCCGAAGATCAGGTTCAGCCTATGAAGTTCAGCACTCAGCTGATACAGAATAGAATAGAATAGAATGGAATGGAATGGAATGGAATGGAATGGAATGGAATGGAATGGAGAGGAATGGAGTGGAATGGAGTGGAGTGGAGTGGAATAGGATAGAGTAGAGAGTAGAGTAGAGTAGAGTAGAGTGAAGTGGAGTGGAGTGGAGTGGAGTGGAATGGAATGGAATGGAATAAAGTGGAGTGGAATGGAATAGGATAGAGTGGAGTGGAGTGGAATAGAATAGAATGGAATGGAATGGAGTGGGGTGGAGTGGAATAGGATAGAGTAGAGGGTAGAGTAGGGTAGGGTAGAGTGGAGTGGAGTGGAGTGGAATGGAATGGAATGAAATAAAATGGAATGGAATAGGATAGAGTGGAGTGGAGTGGAGTGGAGTGGAGTGGAATGGAATGAAATGAAATAAAATGGAATGGAATAGGATAGAGTGGTGTGGAGTGGAGTGGAGTGGAATGGAGTGGAATGGAGTGGAGTGGAGTGGAATGGAATGGAATAGAATAGAATAGAATAGAATAGAATAGAATAGAATAGAATAGAATAGAATAGAAGCTGGAAGGGTCCTTGGAGGTCTTCTAGTCCAGCCCCCAACTCAAGCAGGAGAACCTATACCATCTCAGACAAGTGACTGTCCTTAAAAACCTCCAGTGATGGAGCGCCCACGATTTCTGAAGGCAAAGCTGTTCCAAAGGAGAAAGGAAGATGTTCCTTGAGGAGAACAGAAGGACTTGAATAATGGAGGTCCTTCTAAGACAGTGTTTCTCAACTTCAGGGAGTTTTAAGCTACGTGGACTGCGATTCCCAGAATTCCCCACCCAGGGGACCTCTCACCTTTCCTTCTGGGAGTTAAAGTCCACACATCTTGACGTTGCCAAAGTTGAGGAACATGGTTCTAGAAAAACATTGAACAAAAGTCCTGAGAACTAAATGAAGTCCACTACTCAGGGGGTCCGTGGTGCAGACGAACATGGGGATAACAGAATAACAGAGTTGGAAGGGACTCTGGAGGTCTTCTAGTCCAACCCCCTGCTCAAGCAGGAAACCCTGTATCAATCTGACAAGTGGTTGTCCAATCTCTTCCTAAAAATCTCCAGGGGTGGAGCACTCACAACTTCTGGAGGCAAGTTGTTCCACTGGTTAATTGTCCTTGCTGTTAGGAATAGAATAGAATAGAATAGAATAGAATAGAATAGAATAGAATAGAATAGAATAGAATAGAATAGAATAGAATAGAATAGAATAGAATAGAATAGAAAATATGGAATAGAATAGAATAGAACAGAACAGAACAGAACAGAACAGAATAGAATAGAATAGAATAGAAAATATGGAATAGAATAGAATAGAATAGAATAGAATAGAATAGAATAGAATAGAATAGAATAGAATAGAATAGAGAATAGAATAGAAGAGAATGAATAGAATAGAATAGAATAGAAGATGAATAGAATAGAATAGAATAGAATAGAAATATGAATGAATGGAATGGAATAGAAAGAATAGAATAGAATAGAATAGAATAGAATAGAATAGAATATAATAGAATAGAATAGAATAGAATAGAAAATATAATAGAATAGAATAGGAATGGAATGGAATAGAATAGAAAGAATAGAATAGAATAGAATAGAATATGGAATAGAATAGAATAGAATAGAATAGAATAGAATAGAATAGAATAGAATAGAAAATATGGAATGGAATGGAATAGAATAGAATAGAATAGAATAGAATAGAATAGAATAGAATATATGGAATAGAATAGAATAGAATAGAATAGAATAGAATAGAATAGAAAATATGGAATGGAATGGAATAGAATAAAATAGAATAGAATAGAATAGAATAGAATAGAATAGAATAGAATAGAATAGAATAAGAAATGGAATGGAATGGAATGGCATGGCATAGAATAGAATAGAATAGAATAGAATAGAATAGAATAGAATAGAATAGAATAGAATAGAATAGAATAGAACTGGAAGGGACCTTGGAGGTCTTCTAGTCCAGCCCCCTGCTCTAGCAGGAGAACCTACACCATCTCAGACAGGTGATTATCTAGAAGAAGTTTTCCACTGATGAATTGTTCTCACTGTCAGGAAGTTTCTCCTTAGTTCCAGGTTGCTTCTCTCCTTGATGAGTTTCCATCCGTTGCTTCTTGTCCTGCCTTCAGGTGCTTTGGAGAATAGATTGACCCCCTCCTCTTCCTCTTTGTGGCAGCCTTGAATATTTGTCCTTGAAGCCAGAGGGCAGTTTAAACATGCACTCTATGCACCTGATCTTTAATAATATCTCTCTGGATCACGGCCCGTCTTGTTAGCAACAAAAACCCTCTGATGGAAATCCTAACCGCCAGATCAATATGCCTTTGCATGTCCTGTAATAGCGCCCTCTAAATTAAATTGTCAGAAAGAAATAGAAAAATGAGCCGGGTTCATTTTTGACATTTGACAAGCTGGTTATAAATAAGTCACGTGAAACATGGAAAGCTCATTGCTTTTTATTCAGGCGGATTTACATTAACAGCTGCCGACCCAGAGGTTTCGTCAGATCCATTTCAGAGCTTCGGAGTAAATTCTTTCTGTCGTGTTTGCGATGAATATCAGTCGCTACAAATAAGGACCGTAGGAAAACAAATTTCGAGGGATAACCTCAAAGGCTTCGGGATAGCATCCTGGATGCTGGGAAAATTATATTTGGCAGGAGCATCGATCTGTGTCAGGTTTAATGCTTCCTCTGAGCTGAAAGCACGACAATGGGCCGGTCCAACGCTAATTGTGGGAAACAGCAACATGCCAAATTCAGCGGGTTCTCGATTTACGTCCACAATGGAGCCTGGGGTGGTTCACTTAACCCAGGGGTAGGCCACCTTGGCTCTTTTCTGACTGGTGGACTTCAACTCCCAGAATTCCTGAGCCAGCCACACTGAGGGAAAAGGGAGAGGTTTCCAAGCTGAGCCATGCTGGCTCAGGAATTCTGGGAGTTGAAGTCCACGAGTCATGAAGGGGCCATAGTTCCTCCATGCTGGCTCAGGAATTCTGGGAGTTGAAGTCCACGAGTCATGAAGGGGCCGTAGTTCCCCCATGCTGGCTCAGGAATTCTGGGAGTTGAAGTCCACGAGTCATGAAGGGGCCATAGGTTTTCCCACATGCTGGCTCAGGAATTCTGGGAGTTGAAGTCCACGAGTCATGAAGGGGCCGTAGTTCCCCCATGCTGGCTGAGGATTTCTGGGAGTTGAAGTCCACGAGTCATGAAGGGGCCGTAGTCCCCCCATGCTGGCTGAAGAATTCTGGGAGTTGAAGTCCACGAGTCATGAAGGGGCCATAGTTCCCTCATGCTGGCTCAGGAATTCTGGGAGTTGAAGTCTACGAGTCATGAAGGGGCTAAGGTTTTCCCCATGCTGGCTCAGGAATTCTGGGAATTGAAGTCCACGAGTCATAAAAGAGCCAAGGTTGCCGACCCCTGACTTAACCGCTGTGGCAAGAAAGATCATACAATGGGGCAAAGCTCACTCTCCAGCCATCTTGCGTAGCAGCGGAAAAATGGGGCTAAATTGTTGTGATAAGTTGAGGACTACCTGAGTATTCTCTCCAGACCACAGAAGGAAACTGACCGAGGAGAGAAGAAACCTAGAACTGAGGAGAAATTTCCTGGCACCGAGAACAATTAACCAGTGGAACGGCTTGCCACCAGAAGTCGCGGGTGCTCCATCACCGGAGGTTTTTAAGAAGAGACTGGACAACTGTTTATCTGATGTGGTTTAGGGTCTCCTGCTTGAGCAGGGGGATGGACTAGAAGACCTCCAAGGTCCCTTTCAACTCTGTTATTCTATAATTCAGTAAGGGTCTCCTGCTTGAGCAAGGGGTTGGACTAGAAGACCACCAAGGTCCTCTCATGCTCTGTTATTCTGAAGTCTGCATATTTACTCAGCAAGAATGGAGACATTCCGAGCACAAAACAGCCAGACTGACTTGCGCGGGGTGAAACTCAATTCAGCAAATGAGAAAATGAATGCTTTAAGAATCTGCCTAGAATGATAAACTTTGGCTTCTTAGAACTGGTCCCAAGCCAAGCAAGATCTGAGGGGCCCGATTAAAGCAAAGGCTGTTAGCAAAAAAAAAAAAAACGCACAAACCAGACGGTGAAACAATATTGCTCTGTTTCCCTAGAGTTCACACAGAGAGCATTCTTGATCTGGACTCAAAGGCAAGCGTTGTGATGAGTAACTGCTCCGTTCT